GTACTGTGTAGCATAGGGAACTCTATTCAATACTCTGTAATGATCTATATGGGAACAGAATCTAAAAAAGAGTGGAAGGGATTTCCCTGGTGGTACAATGGTTAAGAATCCTCCTGCCAATGCAGGGGACACGGGTTCCATCCCTGGTCCAGGAAGATCCCACATGCCGCGGAGCAACTAAGCCCATGTGCCACAACTACTGAGCCCCCGTGCTGCAACTATTGAAGCCCGTGCGCCTAGAGCCTGTGCTCCGCAACAAGAGAAGCCACCGCAATGAGAAGCCCATGCACCGCAACGAAGACCCAATGCAGCCAAAAATAAAATAAAAAAGAGTGGATATATGTATCTGTATAACTGACTCACTTTGCTGTACAGTAGAAACTAACACAACATTCTAAATCACTTACACTCCAATTAAAAAAAAAAAAGAAAAAAAAAGAATAAAAAGTTACAAGCAAAACCCACGACCACTCGGTTATAGAAGGCAGAGCAGGCTGAGACACCATTCAGACATCTAACCCTGTACCTGCCTCTCCTTAGCTGTGAGACCCGGGCCAAGCACTTTCCCACCCTGGTCCTCAGTTTCCCCACCCAACCTTTCTTCAGTCCCTCGATCTGCTTCCGCTGGCTTCAGGGCCTTTGCACGTGCTGCTCTCTCTGCTTGGAATGCTTGACCCCTACCTCCAGCCTCTTTCCCCTGTTCATACCTCTTCATCCTTCAGAGCTCAGGGTCAGCGCCTCCCCCAATGTCCCCAACCCAGTCAGACCCCACCTGGCGCTCTCCAGGTGCCAAGAACCCAGCTGCAATTTTTCATTGGTCTGTGAGGTTATAAGGGACCGCCTGTCTCTGCGCCAGACTGTGAACACCCCACAAGGGCGGCTCTCCTGTTCTCCACGTGTCCCCAGCGTCTCACCCAGGACCTGGCATACAGTCGGTGCATATCACTAGAATGAATGAATGTGGAAGCAAGGCAGGTAGATGGATCGTCTCCAGGCTGCCCTCTCTCAGCTGGGGTCCACAGGTACCTGCAGAAGAGCAGGAGGTGCAGGAAGATGCCGCAAGGCAATGGCAGCAGGAGGGGGCTGTGGGCACAGGGCGAGCACCCGGACACACCCGGGGCCGCTCGACGATCCCACCCAGGAAGGGATCACTGAGCTCGAAGGAATAGAATTGTGGGTTGTCTGGCATCAGACAGAGGTGCTTATGTTGAGCTGCAGCTGGATGCTGTATAAGGAGCTGTACTCATTTCTCCCAGAACGAGGAGGACAGAGCCTTGACGAAGGCATGTCCCTGACCCCAGGGCTGCACAGCCAGGCCACTATCCTGCAAACACTGAACTACTGAAAAGGGAGAGGAACCCTCTGCAGCTGGGGAAACTCACTTGAAATTCACATTTGCAGCTGCAGTCAGCTCCACTTTGTCTCAACAAGGCTTGGGAGAGGAGGGTCTCTTTCATGGGGGAATGGGAAAAAGGAACCAGAGTGAACAAGGTACAGGCTGATAAGAATGAGGCTGAGGGCAGCAAGTCCCGTGGGCAGCCCTCTACATCTAGACAGCCTGGCTCAGCTGCCTCGCAACTCATACCTCATCGACTTCTCGCGACAACTTTGTGAGCCAGGAATGATTGTCCCTATTTTACAGATAGGAAAACTGAGGCACAAAGATGCTCGAAGAGCTGCCCAAGGTGGGCAAGCGAGCCCACTGGAGAATTGGAATCTGAACCCACGGCTGTCCGGTTCCACAGCTCATACCCTCTTGGTTCCGCTGTGTTGCTTGAAATAAAATTAGAGTGAGCAAGGTGAGTCCTGTGCTGTCATCAGAGAATTTTTTTTATGTCCAGGAAGGGTTGGGGTTTGCCACCTGGGCAGGCAGGGTTGAATCAGAAGGTTCTCAAAGTCCAGACCGAGGGATGCTTTGGTCTCAGACAGGGGCCAGGGTTCACAGGACCACAGGGTAAATGAGGCTGACACTGGTTGGAGATGCCTCCAAACCCCGGGTGTTTGGTGCTGGAAGGAACCCACAGAGATCATCCCATCTGTTTCCACCTTTTCCATGGGAGGAAACAGATCTCCCATGCCGGGAACGAGGGACAGCTCCCCAAGGCGGCTCTTGTCCATTCTGGAGCATTCCTAGCTACATCAGGAGCCCCTGATAAAAACAGTCCTTAATTCGCCCAAACTGCCAGGTCCGGGTGTCATCAGACCCCTTTCTACAAATCCAGGCATCAGCACTCCTTGTATTGAGTTAAAGAGAAAGACTTATAAGAGGGAATGTAGAACGAAGAACATTTTAACAGTGAAAGAACAGGAGGTCGGCTCCAATGAAGTCGCCGTCTCTTTCCCGAAATACTTGTCTTCCTGAAGACAACGGTACTGCGCAGACAAGAGATTCTCGGCTATTCTGAGGTGGGGATCTATCACTTTATTTTTTATTTTAAAATTTTATTTATTTTTGGCTGCGTTGCTGCGTGCGGGCTTTCTCCAGTTGTGGCCAGCGGGGGCTACTCTTCGTTGCGGTGCACGGGCTTCTCATTGCGGTGGCTTCTCTTGTTGTGGAGCACGGGCTCTAGGCACATGGGCTTCAGTAGTTGCAGTACGCGGGCTCAGTAGTTGGAGCTCGTGGGCTCTAGAGCACTGGCTCAGTAGTTGTGGCACATGGGTTTAGTTGCTCCACGGCATGTGGGATCTTCCCAGACCAGGGATTGAACTTGTGTCCTTGGTATTGGCAGGCGGATTCTTAACCACTGCACCACCAGGGAAGTCCCCATCTATCGCTTTAAGAATCATAAGGATGTGCGTGAAACATCGACACTGAAAATGACTAGACTGGAGAGAGGGCTAAAGATTCTCAAATGAGGGGGTGATGCCCTTGACATCACAGCTTCTCCTGGGACAGGTGGACAGGAAGCTCCAGACCTCCCCCATCAGCCCATTTTGCTTTTGAATGGGCCGGCTGGCCGTACAAAGCATGCACAGATTGGACCATTTGAGTCCAAAGAGTCTACTTTAGACTCAAACCTGCATCCCTTTCATGCCTGTCCATCACCCTTGTTCTGCCCTGAGCACCCTCACCAACTGAGATCCTTTCCAAATTGTCTTTTCCAGGGTGAATATGCCCAGTCCCTTTGACTCTTCCTTCCTGGATGGTTATGCAACTAACTCTCGGGCATCATCTCCTGTGGGTAAACTCCTTGCATTAAAGTGGGAGGGAGAGGGAATTCCCTGGCGATCCAGTGGTTAGGACTCTGCACGTTCACTGCCATGGGCACGGGTTCGATCCCTGGTTGGGGAACTAAGATCCTAAGATCCTGCAAGCTGGCCAAAAAAAAAAAAAAAAAGTGGGAGGGAGATGAGCAGTTGCATCCAGCCGACGAATGAAGGGGAGCCTGTGCTGACTATATTTTCTCTTACCCAACACCTCGCCAGAGGAGAATACAGAGAGACAAGTATCTCAGCAGTGGGCACGCACATCTTGCTTCCTACAATTTTGAACTCGTACCAATGACCGTCATCCATTCACCCAATATCCACTGAGCATCAGCTGTACGCCTGTGATCAAACCAAAGGCCCCTGCTCTCGTGGGTTCCACGGTGGGGAACAGACTGTAAACAAGTATGTGAAATACTCAGCATATTCAATCGTATGAAGCCCGAGCGCCTAGAGCCCGTGCTCCGCAACAAGAGAAGCCACCGCGATGAGAAGCCCGCGCACCGCAACGAAGAGCAGTCCCGGCTCGCCGCAACTAGAGAAAGCCCGTGCGTAGCAACGAGGACCCAACGCAGCCAAAAATAAGTAAATAAAAAATAAAAACAACAACAACATGACACATATGTATTTTCTTACGAATCTAGACAAAGAAGTAAGTCTGAAATCAGTTTCACCGGCAGGGCTGGTTCCTCCTGGAGGCTCTGGGGGAGAATCTGTTTCCGTGCCTTTTTTTTTTTTTTTTTTTGCGGTATGTGGGCCTCTCACTGTTGTGGCCTCTCCTGTTGTGGAGCACAGGCTCCGGACGCGCAGCCTCAGCGGCCATGGCCCACAGGCCCAGCCGCTCCACGGCATCTTCCCGGACCAGGGCACGAACCCACGTCCCCTGCATTGCCAGGCGGACTCTCAACAACTGCGCCACCAGGGAAGCCCCCGTGCCTTTTGTTTTGTTTTGTTTTGGCTGCGCCGGGTCCTAGTTGCAGCACGCGGGATCTTCATTGCCACGTGCGAGATCTTTAGCTGTGACATGAGGGATCTAGTTCCCTGAACAAGGATAGAACCCGGGCCCCCTGCATTAGGAGGACAGAGTCTTAACCACTGAACCGCCAGAGAAGTCCCTGCCCCAGGGCTTTTAAGGGGTATGACAGGGTCCCTCTGGCTGCTGCAGGTAAAAACACGCTGTTACCTGAATTCATGGGAACCCAGGTAAGAATATTGTAACCGCCCATGAGATGGCTTTAGAAGAATGTTTAGAATTCTTACGATAGTGTGGGAATGGGAGCTATTTTGGAACTTTGGGCAGGGATGGGCAGGGTAGGGAGGTGCGAAATCAATCTTAAATAATTCAGCAAATATCAATTATGCTCTTGGTCCGGTCAACTGGGGTGTCTCTGCCTCACACCTGGGAGCAGTGTCGGGCCCGCTCCTTCCACATCTGACACGCACACCTAGGGAGCTGTACCTGGGCAGAGTTTCGTCCTGCCATTCTTCCTTCACGTCCACGTTTTCCATCCGGAGCGTGGCTTCAGTGGTCCCCATGGGAGCTGGGAAGCAAGGACCAACTTGAAGCAAGGATGAATCCTGAAGGAGGGCAGTGGATGGAGGTTTTACTGGATAATCATCATAACGACAATTCCCCACTCACACACAGAACTTCAGAGATGGATCTGCAAAGAGCTCTTGTGTCCATTGTCTTATTGAATCATTGCCCAGCCCCATGAGGCTTCTCCATTTCACCAGTGAGAAAACAGAGGCATAGAAAGCTGAACACCCATGTGGGTCTGGAGTTTGAAACCAAAGGAGGGGCTGAGCCTCCAGCTAAAAGCACCCCCCCTTTGAAGCTCTGAAATCCATCCTCTGCAAGGTTCACCATCCCTCCCTTACCTTGGACTTCAACTAGGAAGCAATAAATCCAATTAAAGTCATTTACACTAAATGACGTTTAGTCATTTAGTGTTAACGACTGATATAATTAAGCTTCCTTGCTGGGATTGACATTCAGACAAGACCTGGTTAACGCCAACCCACCTCTATCTGCTGCAGCCCACCTGTCCTGCCCCTCTGTCCCCTCCCCTCCCCCAGCGAAGAAGCAAGTCCTGACAACTGACCCTAGGACTGAAAAAGGAAGTGCGGAAAGTGCCTGGGGCTGGAAATCAGGATCATCATTTGTACCAACCACAAAATGCCAGTTTTGTTTTTATCCTATCGTAGCGAGGAACCAGCTGGGGGCAAGGATGGGGTGGAGGCAGCACTTTAGGTGGGGCTTGAGTGCTGGGCTGTCTGGGAGTGTGGTGAGAACTGCCGAGCGGGACTGAATTTGAGTCTATCCTGGGGCATGGCAGACTTCCGCTGTCTCAGTTTCCCTGCCTGTGAATGAAAGAATTGGTCTGGAAAGGATCCCCCAGGATTTTATGACTCAACTAATAGTGCAGGTTCTGAGCTTTTAAGCCAGTGGTTCTCAACGGGCAGTGATTCTGCCTTCCCCCACCAGACATCTGGCAATGTTTGGAGGCATTTTGGGTTGTCACAAGTGCGGGGGTGGGGGTGGAGGGGGGCGGTGTGCTACTGACATCAAGTGGGTGGAGACCAGGGATGCCGCTCAGTGCCCTACAGTGCCCCAGATGGTACCCCATGACCAAGAATGATCCGGCCCCAAATGTCCATAGATCTGAGATTGAGAAGTTGTCAACCTCACTTGCCAGCACCTCAGGTCCCTCCTCCAGCCCCTCCCCCCTCCCCACTCACTGCGGCTGCCCCTCTAGAGCTGGTGGGTGGCTCTTAGTTTGGGTGTGTCTTCCAGAGCCCCTCGCTGGACTTAAGCCCCTGTGGATGGAGGGTCTGCATTTGGGATTGGGGCTCAGAGGGAGCCGGAGACAGGTGAGGGCCAGGCAGGGGGGACGGGATGTCTGAAATTCGACCCTCCCCCACTTCAGTGAGAGTTTCTCACTCCATTCTTGTCACTGCCCTGAATGTCGTCATTCATTCATGGAGGAGGGACAGTAAGACGCAGTACGAAAAAGAGAGAGAGAGAGAGATGTCTTCCTGATGCTGTGGGCAACAACTGCCCAGCAACTTATTGCAAGGGAAAGTTCCCATCAATGGAAATTCATTTCCTTTCTGAAGGGAGTGGTCTTTGCGTCTGTTTTCCTTATCCTGAGCTGGGTGTGACCTCAACCCCCAGAAAGGACCACCCACCTCCACCCCACCCACAGCTGAGACTGGAGCCACACATGTTGGCCCAACGATCCTCTAAATGAGGGGTGTGGGTGGGTGACCGCAGGGCCCCGGACGCTCCCGCCCTCTGATCCCGACTTCACGTTCGAGGACGGCAAATAAGGCAGCGAGGGGGAGCTGAGAAGCGTGCCTTCCCGCTGTGGTGCTGAATTATCAGCACATCACATACAAGTTCAGGCAGAGGAGGAGGAATCTCTGTCTTCAACCGTTTCCCTTCCTCCCCACCCCATAGGCAAGCTTTTACGTACACATCTATCAAATCCTTTTCCAAATCCGCTCACGGCGTTATAAATAGGAAATGCACAGAGGTGGGACGTGTACATTTCGGTCTCTCAGGAAGCGTCCCAGAGAGGGGCTGAGGGTTTGAGCTGCCTAATCTCTAAGCACGTCCCGGAAATGGTGCAATCCTCTGCCATCCAGGTGAACGGTGGGCATGGGAGGCGAACTGTGGGTGTGTGTGTGGGGGGCGGATGCTTTTGTCCGCGTGGGGTAAAATGGAGCTGGTAGCATCCCAAGAATCACAAGACCCTGGTTCTCTGCTCCCACCCGCCCCATCTGCCAGAAGGGGGTTTGTAGCGGCGGATACCTGCGGACAATCTTCCTCGGCAGGGCGGGGAGAAAGAAAGTGGATTCACCTCCGCGTGAGTCCCGGCTACCTCCGCGGCCTCTCCCGGTTACGCGCAAACAAAGAAGAGCCTTGGGCGGATGCAGCCGGGCATCCCTCGCCTTCAGAGCATCCAAGGAAGATGCACTCTGGCGCGGACTCCGCATCCAAGGAAGGTCACCCAGGGCAATGCGACGGGCGCGGATGGGCGCTTTTGTCCACGGGTGGGGAACAGCTTGCAGTCAGCGGTCGGCTCCCCCTCGCTCGGCTGCGGCTGCGTCCCTGGTCCTCGTGCCTCCGAGGTATTTTCTTCTTGCCAGCTCGCAGCTGGCGGAGGCTCGGCTTCCTTAAGACAGTTAATTATGCTGCTTTTGTGTGCAGGGTGGGTGGATGGGGGCAGGGCTGACCAAAAAGCACAGCCCCCTGCCAGAATCGGTGCTCTCCATTGGCTGAGAGGGGAGCATTTCCAAGAGCCTCACCAGGGGCAGAAGCGGAAATGATTTCCTGATGGCGCATCACAGATTTAAAAACAAAACAAGGAACAAATAAATAAGTGGCAGCGATGGCCTCATTCCTTAGATTAAGAGGGAGGGAGGAAATAATATCCTCATGGACCCATTTCATGGGTCCCTCAGCCGACCACTTACGATGAGCCATGGGCCGAAGACCGGGCTGGGTGCTGGGGAGACAGAACCTTCTCAGACACATTCGCTCGGGGCCTCCGAGGGAAAGGCGCCCCCTGCAGGTGTGCGTGCGTCAGCCCCGCCCTGGAAGACCATAGAATGGTATAGAGTTAAGAGTGCACCCTCTGAAATCAAACCATAAGTGGATCGGGACACTGGCTCAGCCACTGGCTGGGGACTTGGTTGGGTAAGTGATCACACTTCCTGGACCTCAGTTTCCTCATCTGTGAAATGGAAACATTAGGGTACTGGCCTTTCGGCATTTAATGAGGTGATGCAGGGAGGGTGCTTGGCACGGTGCCGCAGCATGAGAAAAGTTCTGTGCGTGTTTCTTGCTGTTGCTGATTTTATTTTTAGACTGGTAGCAGGTTGAATGGTGTCCCCCCCCCTCACCAAAGATATGTCCATGTCCTAACCCCTGGAACTTGTGCATGTGACCTTATTTGGAAAAAAGGGTCTTTGCAGATGGAATTAAGTTAAGGATCTCCAGATGAGATCATCCTGGATTTAAGATGTGCCCTAAATCCCATGACAAGTGACTTCATAAGAGAAGAGAAGGTGGGGGCACATCATGTGAGGTCAGGATGATGCATCGACCAGCCGAGGAATATGGAGGGTTGCCAGTGACCATCGGAAGCTGGAGAGGCACCAAATGGATTCTCCCTCACAGCCCCCAGGAGAAGCCAACCTTGCCTCTCACTCCATCATCTTCCATCCCATTATCTAGTCTGATTTGTTTTTCAGTTTTTTAAAAAAATTTTTTCTCTTTTACTGTGGTAAAATACACATAATGTAAAATTTACCATTTTAACCATTTGAAAGTATATAGTTCAGTGACATTAAGTACATTCAGTGTTGTGCCACCATCAGCACTGTCTAGTTCCAGAACTTTTTCATCACCCCAAATGGAAACCCGTACCCATTAAGCAGTCTCTTACGTCTCCCTTCCCAGCCCCTGGCAACCACTAATCCACTTTCTGTCTCTGTGGATTTACCTGTTCTGGATATTTCATATAAATGGAATAATCTACTATGCCATCTTTTGTGTCTGGCTTCTCTCACTGAGCATCATTTTTCAGGGATCATCCACATTGTGATGTGTGTCAGTGCTTCATTCATTTTTATGGCTGAATCATGTATATCATTGTATGCATGTGCCACTTTTTGTTTATTCATTCACCAGTGGATAAACAAAAAGCGTTTCTACATTTTGGCTGTTGTGAATAGTGCTGCTATGAACATGGGTGTACATGGTTTTATCTGAATCCCTGTTTTCAGTTCTTTGGGGTATATACCTGGGAGTGGCAATGCTGCGTCATACATTAATTCTATGTTTACGGTATTGAGGAACCTGATGAGTCTTTTTTCATAACACTTACCACTATTTGAGATTATTTACTTGTTTCTTTGTTTATTCTAGGACACACACACCCCCCATTGGAATAGAAATTTCAAAAGAGACTTGGTTGGTTTTGTACACTGTAATGTGCCAAGGCAGTAGCACGCATCACAAAGGAGATGTTCGGGAAATGCAGGTAGAATGCACGGACGCTGGCTCCCCTTGTGGGTCTCAGACAACACTCTATTCACGTGGCTACCCCACTCACTGCATCAGGGTCGGTCCCCCTCCAAGCCAAAGGCATAAAGGCAACCGCCCCACAGCAGAGAAGGAGAGCCCAGAGACTCCAGCACAAGATCTGGACTTTGCACCTCTTGGCTGGAGGACGTGGCGCTCTGGGAAGAGACACTGAGCGGGAAATCCAGGTTTGTTCTAGTATTGGGCACTGGGGTCCGAAACGTGAGGAAGACTTTTTGCTTTCGTAGAACTCCCACTCGGAGAAGCAGATGGGCAAGGGAGTCTGGGCTGACATCTTTGGAGCAGAGTGGCTTGGGGGGCACATGGGGAGATTTCTCAGAGTGGGGCAGGGGTGGTGACCGTGTGGGTTGGGCGCTGAGGAGTGAGTAGGAGTTGGATGGATGAAGAAAGGGGAGAAAAGCATTTGGAACAGAAGGACGTTTGTAAAGCAGCAGCTCTTCCTCCCTGAGAGCGCGCTGGGAGCTGTCCGTGGTGCTGCAGCCCGCCACCGAGCCGCTGCGTGAACCAAGATTGGCTGTCGTCTGGTTTATCGTTAATGGTGGTTATATATATTAATATATATGCATAACATAAAGTTTGCCATTCTAATAATTTTTAAATGTAAAGTTCAGTGGCATTAATTCCATTCACAATGTGTAACCATCCCCACCATCCATCTCCAGAACTTTCTCATCTTCCCAAACCAAAGCTCTGTCCCCATGAAACACTAACTCCCCAGCCCCATTCCCCGAGAATGTAAGTTTCTTGAGATCAGAGATGTTTCATTTTGTCATTGCTATATCTTTAATCCCTAGACCAGTGGTTTTCACCTGTGGGCGATTTTACCCCCCCATGGGACATCTGGTTATGTCTGGGGACATTTTTGGTTATCATGACTTGGGGGATGGAGGTGATTCTGGCATCGAGTGGGTAAAGACCAGAGATGCTGCTCAACACTCTACAGTGCACAGGACAGCCCCTTCCCCAAGAGAATTATCTAGTCTGAAATATCAATGGTGCGGTCGTTGAGAAACCCTGCCCTAGAAGAATACCTGAAACGAAGTTAGTTCTCAGGGGAGTTTGTTGAGGCAATGAAATTACTAAACCTCCTTTTCCTGATTTGCAAAGGGGATTCATACAAATACATTTGATCCTCATTATTCACAGTATTTGTAAATTTGCCTACTGGCTGAAATTTATTTGTAACCCCCAAAATCAATACTCATGGTTCTTCCAGGGTCATTTGTAGACAACACAGAGAAGTGAAAAAATCTGAGTGCTGATTGTGCATGTGCTGTCAGCTGAGGTTGAACCAGATGATGTTTATTCCAGCCTAGGCTGTAAACAGCTGTCCTTTTTTGGGTCTATTTAGTGCCGTGCTTTTAACATTTTTGTGCTTTTATCTTTTTGGTGATTTGGCTATTTATAATGGCCCCCACACATGGTGCTGAAGTGCTGTCTAGTGTTTGTTAGCACAAGAAGGCTGTGCTGTGCCCTTATGGAGAAAATAAGCATGTTAGATAAGCTTCACTGATGTGTGAGTTATAGTGCTCTGGAATGTGAGTTCAATGTTAAGGAATCTACAATGTATATTAAATAAGAAGCCTTTAAACAAACAAACAAAAAAACACACAACACGAGGTTATGTATTGATCAGTTGATGAAAATGTTGTGACCAGAGGCTCGCAGGAACCTAACCCTGTATTTCCCCTAGGAGCAATGGGTCAGTATTTTGCTATTTCAGTGTTTGCAGCAACTTTATAGAACAGAACTGCTGCCAATAACGAGAATCAACTATACCTACTTCTGTGGGCTATTGTGAGGACTAGATAAGATTATGCATGTAAAGCATTTAGCACAATGCTTATAGCAAATAACAGGAAAGAAAAGATATTATGCAACCAGAGAAAACATCAAAACAGACCTGCTTTTGTAAAAGGCATGCAGCCTGGGTTATCTAGTTAGAGCTGCAGGAAATTGGAGGGAGGCCATGTGTAATTACCACGCTGGCCTTTAGCCAGGGCATGGCAGGAGAGCTGCGTTTGCCAGACGCACTAGATTGTTTCTTGTGGCCACACATGGTCATTAAGACACAAATGGAAGAATGCCATCCACTAAATCACCCATACGGCTTTCCTTGGCACCCTGGGCTTGCCATGGTTTCCATCCAAGAATTAACTAGCCCTGTGCCTGCTTAAAAGGGTGGCAAAAGAACACCACCCCACCATGGTTGGTAAATGTACTCTTTTTTTTTGCCTTTAAAAAATTAATATAAAAACTTGAAATAATTGTAGATTCACATGGGGTTGTAAAAAATCACACAGAGAGATCCCATGTACCCTTTTCCACCATGTTACCCAATGGTAACATCTTGCAAAATTATAGTATAATGCAGTAGCACTATTGCTTTTGATATAGTCAAGATACGGAACATTTCAATCACCACAGGATCTCTCATGTTGCCCTTTTATAGCTACCCCCAGTCCCCATTACCCCCTCCCCATGTCCTTAACCCCTAGAAATCACAAATATGTTCTCCATTTCTATGATTTTTGACCTTTCAAGAATTTTATGTAAATGGAACTTTTCCCACGCAGCATAATTCTCTAGAGCTTTATCCAAGTTGTGATGTGTATCAAGAGTTTATGCCTTTTTATTGCTGACTGATATTCCATTTATAGGAAATGTCCAGAACTGGCAAATCCATAGAGACAGAAAGCAAACTAATGGTGGCCAGGGACTGGGGTGGGGTTGGGGAAGTGATTGTTAAGAGTTCATGGTTTATTCTTGGGTGATGAAAATGTTCTGGAATTAGTCGTGATGGTTGCACAACTTTGTGAATATACTAAAAACCATTGAATTGCACACCTTAGTTGGGCGAATTGTATGGTACATGAATTATATCTCAATAAATCTGTTCTTAACCAAAGACTACCTTAATTGTAATAGTTTGGTTATGATCTGCTTCCCTGAATCTAAGTTCTTGAGGACTGGTGCCATGCAGCTTACTGTTGCACTCCCCCCCCCAAGATGGCCCTGCCTATAGTAAGTGGGTCAAGAAATAGCCCTCAAAATGAATTACCCTTAGAATAGGGTTTCTCCACCTTGGCACTGCTGATGTTGGTGCCAGGTCATTCTCTGTCGTGGGGGCCCTCCTGGGAACTGTGGGGCATTGAGCAGCATCCCTGGTCCCCATCCACTTGATGCCAGGAGCACCCCCAGTCGTGACAACCACAGATGTCCCCAGACACTGCTCACTCTCCTCTGGGGGCAAAACACTCCAGTTGAGAAGCACTAATTTAGAGCCACTGAATTTTAGGTACTGGAGCCTTAGAAGGCTCCACGAAAAGACTGGCACCCAGGGGGCTGCTGAAGGGACAAGCAGGACTTGGCCGTATCAGTAGGGCCACATTTACCCAGCCAGAAACGGTCAGCGGGGCAACCAAATCCACCCAAGGGCACAAAAAGGAAAATCACTTCCAGCCTAGAAACCCCCAAGCTGAGAGGTTAAAGGGAAGGAGGGGAATCCGATAAGGGGCGGGGCTTGCGGCGAGGGGCGGGGCTTGAACGGAAACAGAGAGGGCCGGATCTGGGGCTTGGCGGGAAGGAGGGGGTGGAGCCAAAGACCCCGGATACTGGGCGCTCACAGGGAAGGTGGGGGCTCCAAGCAAGGGGCGAGGCTTGCGGCGGGGCGGGCTCGAGGCAAAGACACGCCCCCAGGCGCAGACTAGGAAGAAGGCGCAAGCTTCGCGTGGGGGGCGGGGCCTGGGGCGCGTGGCGGGGCGCAAGCGGCACGAGGCCTGGGCGCGGGCCGGATGACGTCACGCGCCTGCGTCCCCGCCCCTTCGCGTCTCCGGGTCAGCGGGCGCACTGTGGAGAAGCCAAGATGGCGGCGAGTAATTATTACGGCTTCGCGCAGGGCGCCGGCTCGCAGTACAGGTAATGGCCCCGCGCCGCCCGCGCTGCCCCGGCCCCGGGGAGGCCGCGGCCCCGAGTTGTAACTGTCGGGGAGAGCAGAGGGGCTCCTGACGTGGTAGAGGGTTCTGGGCTTGTCGCGGGGATGGACCTGAGGGGGCGCCGAGATCTGACGAGGGGTGGGGCAGCCTGGGAGGGTACCTGGCCGGACTGGGGGAGGGGCAAGGGCCGAGGACGGAGGGCGGGGAGGTCAAGCTTCCTGACTTGGGGTGGGGGTGGGGAGAAGACAGAAATCTGGGAGTGCACCTGGCGGGGCAGAGGGTGGAGCAGAGACCTTGGCGAGGGAGAGCGGAGTGGAGGTGGGAGGGAAGACAGCCCTGGAGGGGTTCCTGGCCAGGCAGGGGGCTGTGGGGTTTGGAGGTAAGAACCCTGATGGGGGGAGGGGGTGTTAGAGAACACGGAGACCTGGGAGGGTGACGGGGGGAGAGGCAGAGGCATGGGGGAGGGGGATAGAGGCCTGACTGGAGGGGCGGGCAGAGACTTGATGGCATAGCGGTCTTGACCTGAGCGAAGTCCTGAGACCCTATAGGAGAGTGGGCACCTGGGGCTTCCTGGGGAGGGAGAACAGTAAGGAAGGGTAGAGGGACCTGGAAACTCAGTGGAGGAGGCGACTGGATGTTTTAAGATCTACTGGCAGACAGGGGCCGAGGGAAGAGCCAGGGATGGGGGTGGACAGGGATGGGAAGCAGCCTGGGGAAGGAGGGCTCTGTGGGTAGAGACACATGGGGTGTGTCTGTACCCCAAATGTACACACGCACATCATTCTCCAGGGCTTCTCCTTGGAGCCTGTCTGTGGTCTCAGTCCTTTAACCTGGCACACCAGACCAGGTCCCAGGCGGGGATGCAGGCAGAGCGGGCATCCCTGGGGGAAAGTGCTCCCCTACCCACTTTCCTTTGTTGCCCTGGTGTCACTTGCCAACTGGTAGCCTGGCAGAACCTCCTCCTGGGCCAGTTTCTCACAGACTGGATTCAAACTGCCCCTTAGATAACTGAGCGAGAGGTGCCTGCTGCACCACGGGCCTGTTAGGATTGTTTCATGCTCTCATTCAGCACGTTGAAAATAGGTAAGACTAGTGGAAAGTTAGTGTCCACCCCTCCCTCAACCCAGTTGTTGTGGTGCTGCTGTGTTCTTTCCTGTGGAATCAGGAGGAGTTCGGTCAGGCCTTGGAACCAGGGGTTGTGGAATTTGAGAGAGCTCTTCCTGCTTTCTGTATCCAGAGTGGTCTGAAAGGTGTAGTGTTGGCTGGTCAGGGAAAGAATGGCTACAGAGTGTTACATTTTTATGTTATCCTTCCCTGTTTCCGTCATCCTTGGTGGTAGAGCATTCTTATTGCCAGTGCTTAGTTACAGCAGCAGGACTAGGCTAGGCTGTCAGGGACCACACCCTTTTGGAAATGTTCTGCCCCTCTGCCTGCTTGCTGCCAATGCTTTCTTTCCTTTCTCTCTCCTTTCTCTTTCTCTTTTTTTCTCTCTTTCTCCAGTGCATTATTTAGTGAGATGTGGAGAATCACTTGAATGTTAGGTTTTCTATTAAGATTACCTTCCAGAGGAGAAGTTTGAGCACTTAACTCGTAAAACAGGTAATTGCGGGCCTTCAGCAGATGTTTTTGTCATTTACCTGAATTAAGGTATTTAAACACTTTGGCACAGCTCTTGTCTGGATTCTGATGACTTAGGTGATACAGTAAACAGACATGTGACTAAGGATGTTAAACTACCACGAACTGAATGTCAAATTAGTCAGTGTCTTTAGAATTGTCCCCAAGGGTGTGTGTTATTCCTTGAGAAAAGAGTAGATTTAACTAAATCAAAAACATAGGAATCGGGCTTCCCTGGTGGCGCAGTGGTTGAGAGTCCGTCTGCCGATGCAGGGGACACGGGTTCGTGCTCCGGTTCGGGAAGACCCCACATGCCGCGAAGCGGCTGGGCCCGTGAGCCATGGCCGCTGAGCCTGCGCGTCCGGAGCCTGTGCTCCGCAACGGGAGAGGCCACAGCAGTGAGAGGCCCACGTACCGCAAAAACAAAAACAAAAAAAATCCATAGGAATCATAGCAAAATCAATTTTAGTCTCAGAAAACCTTGAAACAAGATAATCTGCATTGTCTGAATAGTTTTAAGTTAACTAGACATTCTCTTTTGGGGGAAACAACTTTTGCTTGAAACCTTCAGCTGCTTTTAAAGTATATATTTCTTACATAATGTGCCATGGAAAAACTGATGAGGTAACAGATTTTGTGAGTACCAACTTTATGGACAAATACTGGACAATAGTATTTACAAAGCCCATTTCATGGATTGCCAAAGCAAAGACGACAGTTTATTTCTTAGAGGAATTTTGCATAGGTTTTTTTGGCTTTTAAAATTGGTAACCATAGCCCTGGATAGTAATATTCCTTACATTGTCATCCATAAATAGGGTTGGAATTGGAACTGTTCTTAAATTGTTGTTCAGTAAGAATCGGATGCACACTTACTCATGAAGTTATAAGAAAAGTTTGTAATTACTTGTAAATAATGATGATTTTCATTTATTTTACTTTAGGTGGTCTTTTAAATCTCATAAAGCTTTTTTAGACTTAGTGCTGCACGTGTTCAGAATTAAGGATTAATCCCATGTGGAAAATTGAATCTGACAGTGTGTTTAATTAGCACTGAATGCAGTTTTCAGGTGTGAGGCTGAGAGCTGCTCAAGAAATCCAGCAGAGTTCTGTGTGAGTTAAGTCGAGTTGGTAATGAAAGCATTGAGAGCTCAGAGCTGTACGGTAGATGTCCCCAGGGGTGGAATGTGACAGGCGGGCCAGATCTACTGTAATATTTCCCTTTTCTAGCAGTTTTGTCAAAATACCACCCATCTAGTGTAGCTGGCTACCTCTACCTTTGCATCCTTGTTAAACCTAAATAAGACAGCTACTGGGTTTTGGTGTAATACTTGATTTCCCATCAGGAGAAGTTCTATTTTAATAAGCTTTTGGCATAAATGTTAATAGCCGAATTCCTTCATCTGGAGAATATCAGGAAGTTGGAAGCCTGATTGGAACCCCATCGAACTCTGTTAGTGGTGGATAACAATATGAAGTGCTGGTTACTGATTCTCTGTATTGAATAAGTCCCAAGCACTTGATATCTCGTCCAGTCCTCACAGTAATCCCGTGAGCTAGGTATTAATGATACCCATTTTGCTGATAAGGAAACGAAGCTCGGGTGCAGTAACTGGTGTAGGATCCCCAGGGTGGTGAGTGGTGGTGTCTGGCTAGGAATGAGGGCTGCCTGGCTCCCAGGCCGTGCCTTTGCCCCATGGTAGGGCATGCCCGAGCCTGGGGAGGTGCTCATGGTGGCAGACCTAGCCTGATGCAGCCGCTCAGCAGTGGGGCCTGCTGGCGGAGACTGGGTTCCGCCATTCTTTACGCTGTCACCTGGATCCTGCCCCTTTCGTTTGGGTCCTAGTCAGATTGTGGTTTAGGGCCGCATTCTTCAGACCTTGCAAAATTACTTGCTCTGGAGTGGGGAGGCCGAGGAAGTATCTGGTCCAGTGTCATGGGGATGGTAATGATAACCCAACCCATGTCTCTCGATAATCTCTTCCAGAGGCAACAGATAGCTTGGGAAAGGCAACAGAGCCCACGTCAGCCATGGGGGGCAGCATAGGCAGCCCCAGTGCTGCCAGATGAAAAATCACCCATTAACACCACCCAGGTAGGAGACCGCTGCCCTGTCAGGTATGGCTATGACCAGATTCAGAATGGTCCTGGTCATACCCAGGCCAGCCTCTGTTGCCTGCACCCCATCTCTGACCCCCTGGTCTCCAGGCCCTTCCAGAGTGAACGTTACCCTCCAAGGCCTGTCTGTCCCCTGAGCTTAGGTCCCAGAAACACAAGCTGCCAAAGAGAATCTGGTGTCATTGCCTCAGGGACTGGGTGCACCTGCCACCACACCCAAAAGCAGGAGAGTGGGGCTCGTGGGAACCTGTAGTTGAGTTTGAAGCAGTCCTGACAATGATTGCACCTCGGCAGCACTTCCCGCGTACTCCCCGATGGGATTGACTGGAGGTGGACCCTGGGAAAGCAAGGCACAGGAGTTCTCCTTTTACAGTGTGCCTGCTGTTGTTTTCTTAAAGACCCATCTCAGGAAGGCTCTCAACTGCAGGCGAGACCTGATTTCAGCATATTTTAAGGAAAACCTTTCAAATGACAGAACTATACTATCTGTGTTCCAACCACACGTACATTAGGTACATTTAAAATTTTTGAAGTGTGGACTTTGAATTTTCATTTTATCCATTTTAGAGCTAAAAGTCAACTCACCAACATCAGAGCATAAGTTAATTCCGAATAGAGATTTTTTTCCTCAACATATTCTGTTTCTGAATTTTTAAAAGTTTTACTTTATATTTTGTCTTTTGTCTGGATCTACCAATGTGTGTATTTAGAATGATCAGAACAAATACATCAAATTTAAAAGCATTTTCAAATGATCCTTTAAAATTCTTTTTTCATGTGAGTGTAATTGGTGTTTTCTTATGTGGTTTTGGAGGTAAGGAGACAAAGACCATTGATCTGGATGAATAACTGAGCAGTCCTAAAAAGTAAGGGAAACGTGTAGAAAGGGTATTTATAAACCTCGTATTCATTCCTTATTTTATAGTCTATATTATATATTCATTATTTTATATTCATTCTTTATTCGTTCTTTATTAGTAGATCAAAAATTTGTGAACCTTCAGATCAGGAATTGCAGATGGTCTTGTAAGGAGCAGACACATACATGTGTGAATACCGTCTAAGATAGAGGATAGAGGGTCTGTCAGGGGAGGATCAAAACAGCCTGCGCACCCCACCCTCCCACCTGTCATTGACACGTGGCACTGAACCCAGAGTGGCAAGTCTTCCCAGTTTCCCAGAGAACCCACAATTCCCTGTCCTACGTGAAATCCCCCAAATTTTAAATACCAGAACCAAAGTCAGACT